CCAAAATATCCAATTTATGAAAGTTTGCTAACAAAAGCAAATATTACACAATGAAAACGAGTCAACGAGCATCTACATCAAAGCAAAGATGGCGGTACCTACTGTAATGGCGAAAACGTTCTTAACCTCTGAGCATGACTTGAGTTACCGATTTCGTATCTCAGCCCGTCTCATTCTTCACATGGCATGTATACATACTCTATTAGGCTAATCTTGCCTACTGGGCCAAACTTAGCGCTAAATCTTATTACTTACTCAGTTGGAAATGGGAAATCGAGTGTTATATTTTCACTTTTTCATACATACTCGTCGGTTAAGGGTATTTATTACCTTGGCCCATCTTAACACTTTCACTGTCCGATTTTCAGACACAACAGTACGACAATAGCAATGACCTATATGTAGTGCACGGAAGAGCGAAAGGGTTAATAAATCGCTAATTTGATCGATAAACTTCAATCCAGGGTGTATCTTGCCGACTTGCTCAAATCTGCGATATGAATTGTCACTCTTTCCTCATTCATTCTTTCTAGGTGTCCAAAGTGCTGAAGCATCCTTTCTTAATCCTGGTTACACCAACTTCGTGCAAGCCACACTTTTTTCTAATCACACAATTTCCCACCCTGTCATTCAGAGTCAGTCCTAACATACTTCTTAATGACCGCAGTTTTAAAGCTTTCATTTTACTCTCATGTCACATAAAGTTTTTGCTACCATACATTAAGGTAGGGACTAACACAGCATTTTGAATTACAGTACGTGCCTTTTTGGCACATTGTGACTCCCCACAATTGAGTGACGAGTCACATTTAGTCTGTATCTTGTATTCACTCTTCATTTTCTGCCGACTTCCTAAAAGGAGACGGTACTCAATTCGACTATATGCTTTTTTTATGTGTGTTACCTCATAACTTTGTACTGGATGAACCGATTTCGATAATTCTTTTTTTATATGAAAGCTGATAGTTCCCGCGTAGTCCCATATGAATTTGATCAAGGTCAGACTAATAGTTTTTGAGTTATTCTTAACCGATTCGTTGCGGCGCCGATTTTCGACAACAATTATATCGTGACACGCCTGTCGTGTCAAGCGCAGGTGGTAACAAAGCAAGTGGCACAAAGGCGTGTCATCAGCCATGTGTAAAAGTAATGTTCTTTTTTATGCTTTTTTTCACTTGTTTAGACCTAATTAAGTTTAGTTGACATAAAACATCAGTTGCAAACGGAAGGATACTTGTTTTTAGTGGGTAAATACGTGTTTTCTTTGAAATTGAGAGTAAGTGACTTTTTTATGCAGAGATTACAAACCTTTTGTACTATTTTTTGTTTTATAAAAAATAATTTATATAAGTAGGTACAGCTAAATCACACTGGAAAACCTTGGTTTTTATTACATTAAACTTTCACCTAATAATAACATTTGTAAATATCAAACAATCAAGAACCTTAATTTGGAAAAAAAAGGTTTATGATTCATTGATTTACAAATGTTAAATATTAATTTTATATAAATGTAAAAGTAAAGTCGATCTGAAAACGTCTAATTAGTAAGAATAGCAAAACAAGTGTTTTCAAAAGGAAAAAAACGCCGGCGCTATACTATAATATCCCAAGAGCACATGGTACTTCGTAGGTCTATTTGGCCATATGATAGTAATAAGGCGGCAGCTCAACTATTTTAGCAAAATTAAACAATAAGACAAACGCATTTTTTTAACAGGAGGCTTGTTTCGCAGTAATTTATTTAAAATTTGAGTTTGTGAGCGATCGCAACGAGTGCTATTATTTGTTACTTATTAGACATTTTTTCCATAACATGATTTAAAACCCACAAAGTAAAAAGAGTACCATGTACAAGTTAAAAAAAGGTTGTCAAACCCTAAAAATTTCAAATTTTCAAAATATCCAGAAACGAAGCCGTACGCATGAACTAATTGCAAAATAATGAATATTTTGTTCTGGATAAATTTTCCAAAAACGCAATTTGAGCGAGTTATACTTAACGATTTTTAAAAAGACACGTCTCGCGTGTCACACACAAAAAGTAATGGTTGATTTAGTGTGGATGGCACGCCAGGCGTGCCATTCGCACTAAACCGGTTAAATAACTTATATTGAAGTCGGCTGTACAAAATTTTAAATTTTAAATTATATATCTTAGTCATGTCTACCATCTCTGCCAAACACGACCAAATTACTCAAAGTGATATTATTGCTCACCCAGCTAGAAGGGGTTCTATTACTTCATAATACGTCGATGTACTTACCTTCTCTTTTAAAAATCATTCTAACTTGCGTTCACTTTCATTCTCCTTTCTTCTAATGATATTAACGTAACCATCATTTGCACTTCGCCTGCCGATGACACTAATATGAATTGATCGTCAGCGTACAGGATAAACTTGACTTCTAATTTCTTTCAAAATTTCAAAACAACTGTCATAAACAGATTGACCAGCCACGAAGCTGCACAACCCTATCTGGCATCTTTATGGATGTCAAATAAGCCTGTGTAAGCCCTGCTGATCCAGACCAAAGTCTTAAAGTCCCATACAGCACAAAACTTTCTGGCTTTTCGAACAAACTTTTTTGATCATGTGCAAAAGAAAATATCTGCATTGTATCATTAATTAATTATATATTACATATATTACTTAATTAATTATATATATGAAGTTAAATGTAAATGTATATATATATATATATATACATATACACACACACATATATATATATATATATATATATATATATATATATATATATATATATACATTTACATTTACATATGAATATATATAAAGTTAAATATATATATATATATATATATATATATATTTAACTTTATATATATTCATATGTAAGGACCTTTGTAAAATATATTTAATTAATCAAAGTATGCACCGTTGTTATCTATGCACTTTTGCCATCTCATATGTAGTTCATTGATCCCTTTACTAAAAAACCATGGGGGCGAGAATCAATAACCTCTTTGAAGGCGGTTTGGACTGCCGCATCGGAGTTGAATTTTGTTCCTTGAAAGAAGTTGTCAAAATTCCGGAAAAAATGGTAATCTGTTGGAGCAAGGTCCGGGGAGTACGGTGGATGTCGCAGACATTCCAATTTTAGCTCATCTAACTGAGTGGTGGTTTGTTGTGCAGTGTGTGGTCTTGCGTTGTCGTGAAGCAGCAGTGGCCTAGAGCGATTGACCAATCTCGGTTGTTTAGCAGCTAGTTCTTCCTTCATGGTTAGCAGTTGCTGACAATAAATATCTGCCGTAATCGTTTGGCTAGATTTTAGAAAGCTGTAGTGAACGACATCGGCGCTAGTCCACCAAACACTCGCAAGTAACTTTTTCTGAGGCAATTTTTGTTTAGGGCAGGATTTCGCTGGGTCTCCAGGGTTCAGCCATTGCGACGGGCGCTTCCGATTATCGTACAGTATCCACTTTTCATCACAAGTAATGATTCGATTTAAAATCCCTTCATTATTGTGTCGGTTGAGTAAAGTAACACAGCGGTCGACGCGTGTTTGCAGGTTTGATTCCCTCAATTCATGAGGTACTCATCATCCAAGTTTTTTTACTTCCTGATTTGCTTCAATTTTATCACTTACCCCGAAGCCTGCAGCTATCTCTGAAGTGCTTTGTGATGGATCCGCTTCCACAATAGTCTTTAGTTCTTCATTTTTCACTTTGGTCTCCGGCCGTTCACGGGGTTGGTTTTGAAAGTCGAAATTTCCAGAACGAAAACGTTGAACCCAAAAACGTACCGTGCTTTCTTTTGCGACATCAGCATCATATATATCATTAATCCTTCGAGCTGTTTCTGCAGCACTGGTGCCACGGTAGAACTCGTACTCGTAAATATACCGATATTTCATGTTTTCCATTGTGCGGTAATAAGCGACGCCAAAAAAAAAAATAATGAGGAAAAAACAAATGAATGACTGTTCTCAAAACTCAAATGTACCAGCTAAATGAATTTATAAATTTAAATTTGGAATTCTTAACCAAAGAGATCAAAGTGGTTAGTAAAGTTATTTCAGATCAAAGTGGTCAGTACGACAAAACGCTAATTTAATATGTAAGGAACTAATATATATATATATATAACTACTAGAATTAAGTTCATGGAAGAATTATTTTGTACACCATACAAAATAATTCTTCCATGCGGGAATTTATCCCGCGGCATGCAGAATTGCAACTCAACGCTTAGCCACTTTACTCCCACCATTACCATCATAGTAAAGTTGTTCAAGTTCAAGAGAAATGAAAACAAAACAACTTTTTATGTAATTCATCAATTTATTTACTATACTTGTACAAAAATACCATATACGTTCCAGTCTTCAGTGGTTTCTTGTTAAAAATCATTTTTAGCGAAGACTACAAAAGTTTAACATAGAAATATATATTACAATTGACATAATTAAATTAATAGATATACTTAAACTTCTAACCCTATGGACGGATGGATTTTACATGATGACTGAGGCAACTATTTCTATTTATATATACAAATACGACATGAGATCAGAAAATTTACAATTTTTAAGAAAATAACATTTCTTTAGGTTCTATAAATCCATATAAAACTTTCCCAGATATAATTTATAGAAAGGATTTAGATTACAAATTCTAATTGCGAAGAGCAACTAATCAGAACGCTAAAGAGTTTTCTTATTAAAACCATATAATGATTCTATTAACTAACAAATACACTAATGCCACAATATGGCGAAATGAAGTTGCCAAATATTTTTTTTTGCATCATAAAACAGAACACTTGAATGAAAACATTTGTCACATAACATCATATCAGCATTTGTACACAAATTTATTTGCATATTGCTTTGTTGCAACACATTAATTATTGAACTACAAATATCAAAAATATCATTTACAATACCAAAACATTCCGAGAAGTAAATCAGTCTTTTGTCGGAACCACATATATTTCACATTTAAAAATATTTACAATTACTTAAGGACGCTATCAGTTTTCATCTTCTGTATCTATGCTGTCTATTGGAAAATTTGGATTTAAAATTGGACTTTTACCGTTAGATCCACTAGGTGACGTATTGACTGATGAAATACCGACAAGATTGTGGGTCAAGCTGTGTCGCCTTAAATCACAATTTCTTCTGAACACTTTGCCACACGAGGAACAGTTGTACGGCTTAATATCCGTATGGGTGAGTAAATGTGTCTTGAGGTTAGACCTTTGGTTGAAACTTCTGCTGCAAACTGGGCATTTGTGGGGAGATTCTTCCATGTGAAGGATCTTATGAACAGCTAGAGTTCTTGATTGACAGAACCCTTTACCACATTCCATGCATTTGAACGGCTTTTCCTTGGAGTGAATGTATCTGGAATAAAAAAAAAACCTTGAAAAATGTTTTACCTATAAAAACCGCACATTTTTGAGTTATGGCATGAAAATTAATAACTTATAATACGAACGTTATATAAAAAATTTAATAAATTGTAAAAAAGTTTGCCAAGTTAAGGGAATTTCTTGTGCATAGGAAAATAACATATTAATATTTAATGCATTCATATAAAAGGTCAATATCATACATAATATTGAAATAAAATGTTTTCTTGTAGTGGGAATATGACATAAAACATAGATATGTAATATATAATTAAACGTATCAAGTTAATTCAAGAGCTACACTAATCGAATTGATCAAATGGAAATAAATTGAATGATTATTTATAGCTAAATCATCAATTTTTCTTTTCATTTGTATTTTCTCATTCAATAAATATAAAAATGCATATAAATTCATTGTTTTCTAATATACGCGCATTTTATTGAGTTGAACTAAAAACTTTGTACTATGTGATAGAACTCCTTTTCTGCATAGTTACTACTTTTATTATATTCTTATCTATTTGTGTCGATAAGCCACACTGTATGTATTGTTGTGTTTCGGTTTTGAGTCATATGTTGAGCCCACTAACAAGAGGCCCGCAGGAGATAAAATGCATCGATATTTTATTCTAGTTGGTTGATTCATGAAAAGACCACTGGTGAATGTAAACCTTCCCCATAGATTATCTCAAATATTTGCCATAGCTGCCACGCTTGGCAGGCGGGTTGGCAATCGTAGTGTTTTATTATATTAATTGTTATCAGGAAGATGATGCTGCTCATATCCTGTTTTAGTTTCCCTTTGTGGTTTTTGCCGACACATGCAGGTTGATATAAGGTAGTGGATTTTTAACGCTGACGCAGGTAGAGTTGGTAGCAGGTGTGCATGTAGTAGGGCCATAGATATATTATGGTAAACAAAACGGATGAATCATAATGATAGAGCCAATAAATTCTTTATTTTGGATAATACATTTTTTACACTATTTTATAAAATATTAATAATACTGACACCTGATTATTAAAAATTATAAAATTATAAATGAGTGTGTTAAAATACTGTATTTAACACCAAGATGTAATAAAAGTCAGAATTGTAAACCTATCAAATACTTAAACAAATCTTAAATTTGTGGCTTGTAATGAATCCGTAGAAACAAACTATAATTAACACGCCAGACAACGTATAATCAATAATAACAAGCAACAAGAAACCAGTAATCGTGAAATCATCTCAATAAATCTAACGTATCGTCTAAACAAATAGTCCCGAAGCGAAGGATTACATGTTCAATGTAACGTTATACGAGTAATAATCGAGATTAGCTAGTGACGATAAAGAGGTGAACGGTAATGAATGGAACAGAATTTCAATATTGAAGTTATGGCTGTAGAAATATAGCAATGGGAAATCAACGGCATTTTTTATTCGAAATCGCTACTGAAAAAAAATCTAATAGTAAAACGAAGTAAGTGCAAAATAGTCTATATGTTTGAGCACGAAATTATAATAAACTAATAAGTCAATATAAACAATTAAAAGAAAGACAAAGAATGTCTATATTATTAGTATGATACTATTGCGTATCATTTTTTTTTATTAGCGGTAATAGGCCTAAGTCAATATGTGACATACACGAATAGATTAATAATATGTAATAACCGTCAGTATTAAATTTGGTTCCAACAAATGAGTTCTACGACACATCTTCTCGTCAGACATACCTCAAAACCTTAAAACGAAATTGTACAACCAGTGCGTGTTGCCAGTGATGACTTACGGAACTGAGACGTGGTCCTTCACTGCTGGCCGTATGAGGAAGCTCAAGGTCGCTCAGCGAGCTATGGAGAGGGCTATGCTCGGAGTTTCTCTGCGTGATAAACTTAGGAATGAGGATATCCGCAGTAGAACCAGAGTGACCGACATAGCCCAACGGATTAGTAAGCTGAAGTGGCAGTGGGCCGGCCATATAGCTCGAAGAACCGACAACCGATGGGGAAGAAAGGTTCTCGAGTGGCAGCCTCGTACCGGTAGGCGAAGTGTAGGGCGTCCCCCCACGAGATGGAGTGACGACCTGGTAAGACATGCAGGAAGTCGATGGATGCAGGTGGCTCAGGACCGTGTTTTGTGGCATTCTTTGGGGGAGGCCTATGTTCAGCAGTGGACTTGTGAAGGGCTGTAATGATGATGATGATGATGAAATGAGTTCCGTTGCATAATATCTATCTATATTAGAAATGTTTAATCTGTGCCAAATATTTACGGCACTCATTTCTTAAAGGAAAATCGTTCCATTTTCTCAATACTATTCCAATGGGTTTCGATAAAATAAGGCCTATATGCATTAAGAAGAAGAACCGCTATTTAAATTATTACCCTATTTCAACATCGAACAGGTAAAGTTATTCTAAAATGCTTTTTCATTTTTCTTTTTTGTATTGTATTGAAAATAAATATCAACAAATTTTAGTTAAGAAATTATTATTTAAAACAGTAACTTCACAAAAGTAATAAATTAATTTCAATTTAAACCCAAAAAGGCTTCGTCAATTTGAATATCGACACTTAATTTTGTATGCGAAGGATATTTACTGTGGTCCTTTTTTTGTCATCCATATTAATCCTCACGTCAAGATCACCACGTGCTTTGTTATAACCCATCGAAGTCTCGCCTCGGTCCATTATAATGTATCGTGTCAACGGACATCGATTGAACATCGACAGGCAGGCCGGCCCGAGCTCAGGTTAACCCTCCGGCGTCTACACGAAATTTATTTTATTGCCGCAGAGATACGGTGATTTGGAAGGAAATCGTCGAGAGACAGGTGTTAAAAATTCAACACCTTTACCTCTTTTTAGTGAGGAAATCGTACAGATAAGTGGAGAAATAGATTAACGCAGATTAAATGTTGTTGTAAGCTATATACAATAAATGTAATGACATTATTTATTGATTCATGCAATTGGAATTCGAGTTGTATAAGGGTTGTATTAGAGCTATACATTTTTATAGCGATAAAGCCTTTAAGATAAAAAGATATGCACGCGGAGTTATTGGGAATTCAAGTCGAAAAGAAAAATAATATAATAAAAGTAAATTAAAACATTGGGTTCGAGATTAGCGATGGTTTTGTGAAATAATTTACGAGCGTGACGGACGAGTCGATGATAACATCTGCTCGAACATACTTAACCCTTTTTGTTTTAAATATTTTTCTTCACCTTCATAACTCAAAGGTTCATAATGTTTTGTTTAGGCACAAAATATTTTTAAAATGTTATATAGTTAATGCTTATAATATGCCTGAGAAGAGAAAAGAAAATACTATAATGGTTTTAACTTTTTGTAAGAACTATCAAACTTAAAAATAGTTTTAAATTTCTGTTCAGTTTGGTCTTAAATTATTTTTTAATGTGATAGAGGTATTCGTGGTGAAATATAGGTGAAAAACATGATACCTGCAAGCTGCTATATATGCTAAAATTAAGCACTCGACTTAATCTTAACCAGTTTTCGCCAATAATTTTATCAGAAATTTTTAGAAAACCTTTATAAAATAAATACATGGGATGTTATGCATACTTATTTCATATTTTACATTATATGTTTCAATTAAAAAAGTACTTATATAAGCTTATTTTTATTAATACACGAGTTAACTAACAAAAATTGGAAATTACCTGTGGTCCCTGAGATGATCTTGCCGTCGGAATGCCTTGCCGCAAATGTCACAAGAATATGGTCGCTCGTCTGTATGCGTTCTTTCATGAATTAATAAATTGTATGATTTCGTGAACTGTCGATTACAAAACTTACAGATGAATTGTTTCTTCGTCCGGGGACCGCTTCCCGAGGTTTTTTGTTTATTTGAAATACTACTTCCCGTTGAAGATGTAGAACTATTTGTGGACTTTGAGCTTGATGAGTTCGATGGCTGAGGAGACAATGGAGGCTGTGTTGGACTACCATTCATTTGTTGTTGGTACATTGCATTCATTAGTAAACTAGGGTATCCATTATCTAGATTTTGTGATGAACTGTATCCATAAGTTTTTGATGTAGATTCTAAATGTTGTTCTAATGTAAATTCATCTTCGTTGTCTAATAATGCAAGGTCTTCTTCCACTTCTTCCGATAAATCTACGTCTTCTGCAGCTATTGCATCGGATAAAGGATATTCTTCAGGTGTCTTAGGTGAAAATTCTCTGGTATTTTCTGAGCCATCGTTTTCAGTAATCTTTGCGCTTGCCGTCGCTATTCTTAAAATATCTTGTTTTGAAGTAAGACTATTGTCAGTTAGATTTGACTGATTTGAGCTACTAACAGATGATACAGATGTCAAGCGCTGTAATGTCAAATAAGATTCCAATGCTTGCAAATTGAGCGCGGCAGCTGCAGCGGAGTTTGATGGCAATAAAGCAGCTTGTTGCAATGAACTCATCATTGCGTTTTGCAGCGATATAACCACACCTTGTAACGAACGTTGTAACATATTTTCTTGTAAGAGAGCAGCAGACGCAATAGATAAATTTATATTAGATGGAGACAAATTGCCTGTCTTACTTGCTATTCCCTTGGTATCTTCAATTGGTGAAGGAGGTTCAACGCTCAGTACATTCATATCCGATGGGCTCTTGTGGTCTTGAATCTGCAGATTGTTTTTCAGCTTGATGATGGCGCTTTCCAAAGAGTTTAACGTAGACTTCGATCGCGATGAACTTTGCTCTTGCATATTGTTATTTAAATTTAAGCGTTAAATGTCATATGAACACTTGATTGGTGCACGTGTTCTGAGGGGGTGCGGTGGGGGGACAATCGCGTGCGCGTGCGCTGTCCTAAAATCACGGATATTGTTGCGGCGTGCGAGGCGGCTGTGCGACGCGGCGCGACTGAGCCGGCGGGCAGGCGCTACCGCCCCCGCCACTCCCCGCGCCGCAACCCGCCTCACAAAAGCTCTCTATTTTAGGCAACTCTTTGTACTTAGTAATGGTCACCTCACGCTTGACGCTGCCCTAACGACAGACACGTCCATGAGAACAACGTTGCGCCAGATTTTGTTGTAACCCTTTCAAGTGTAATGAGATTCTGAATGGATTTGTCGGGCTATGGGAAAACAATGTACTGTCCGATTGCACAGCTCGTTTTATTAGTCGGTCACAACTAGTCCTGTAATTTTGGAATATAAATAGTTTTAAGATTTAAAAATTAAATGCTATTGTCAAAAGACAGTTAGCTCGTTTATTGTTGCATGATAAATATAAGTGGCACTACAAGTATAAATAATAAATATAAAGGTAATAAGCCTTGAGATAAAAGTTTACTAAAAAATATCAAAGCAGTAATGTTTTCTGTTTGCTTAACTCGGACTCATAATAAAAACAAAAAACAGAGCTTTTAATAAAGACCACAGAGCTGCACTAAAACACCAGTTTTAGTACAGCTCATTTTTATAAAGGTTTAATTTTAAGTATTTGTAGAAGTATCGTAAATTTTTTATACAATTTTTAAAACTGTGTATATATTTTTTTTTTGTCTAGAGTAGTAAGTAAGTAAGTATAGATAATGTTTAAATAAAGCTGCATATGAACTGAACTATATGATTTAGTAAATTCTATATAAAAATACCTAACTATATTATAAACATTAGAATTTTATTTATAAGTTCGTTTTGGTTGGAGTTGTTTTGTCTTTTTTTCCATCACCATTTTACATAATTCTAGCGCTGGATATAGGCCTCCCCTTCATGCATTTCCCAACAATTTGCTCTGAGCCACCAATGATTCAAAAATCTGTTTTCGCTATCAGTTGTCGGTTGTTCGGGATATTTGGAGCTTTTTAGATTCCTCTTACATTATACCTACAATTTTCCTACATTAATTTTCCACCTTTAGAAATTGTTTTTAAATAAACAAGTTTAAAACATCTTTATTTTTAATTAACCGCGTCCTGCAAGCAAATAAAAAAGAAGTCCTTTACACACAAATGTTTATTAGTTTTGTCCCGTTAAAATTAAGCGCATATAACAATATTTACTTACGTTTGTTCTTCGAGCCTTTTTAAGTATACAAGTTTCAACGATTCGACTTGAGAAGTACTTTTTGTTTGAAATGTTGTTAATTAATTTACAGTTTACTTTTCTCATTTGTTTAGTATTGTAATCGACTGTTGAAACTACATACAGATAATATCACCGGTCGTTTAAAAAAAAAGATCTTTACAAAAATTGATAAGCTGGCATGCAATTTAAGACGATCTGTCTATGATAAACATACATAATATATGTACATTATACACAACTAAATCTTCCGTGGCTGCGCAAGTATCCAAAATATAAATGCCCACTTCACTTCACGTTCGTGTAAAGTGTATACTAAACTATCCAAACCTACAGAACTTTAAGCAGCACCATCTAAAAACCTATTAAAATCCATCTATCGACTGTGAAATAATTATAATATTACGTCACGTGTGTATCTCATATCTCCGATTTTCTAATGGTTTCTAACGGTTTTCGCAGCTGTGTCATGGTTACAGCACAAATGGGGCGGCTTTAAAGAGCATGGCCAATCTCTTACAGCATAAATAAAAGCTGTGTTTCGTTTGGTGAGTGTAGAGAACCGGAGACTTACTACTGGAAATGAGGCATTTCATCATAGATCTAAAGGTTGACAACGCATCTGCATTTCGATTCTCTATTACAACTAGATGTAGGTACGTACAACAGCGTGTACTTATTATCAAGTGGACTATGAACTCGTTTTTCACCCTTACTCTATTTTTTTAAAAAAAACTTATCATTATTAATTAGTAATCTGCTAGATTTTTAATTTAACAAAAGATAAGTTTGTAACAGTCAGTTCGCTACCTACTACAATGTGCATAGACACTATTTTTAATCAATCTTATTCATCAGCCAGTAAAATTCCTGTTAGGCATGGACATGGGTTATTTTTGATAAAATATAATTTTTGCTATATGGGCTACAGTAGCCAATTACCATCAGATGGACTGTGTGTTCGTTTGTCATTACAATTTTATTAAAAAAAAACTGATACTGCAGTGCCACTAGCATACCAGTTAACACAAAAGTCACTTATTACTAGTCCTTATTGATCTGTACTTGTTGTAACGTTTATGTAAGACCGGTGGTAGGCTATTTAACTCAGTTTTCGCGAAGCAGCAGGTTGGTACTTCGATCATGGCCAGGTCACACTAGCCAACGCGACTGTTATTTTTAATAAAGTACCTAATTCGTATAAGACATCCAAAATCTAATACCTCTGAGATACAATTAGTACCTGGCTATAGTTTCTGCAATTTCATACGTGTGCAGTACAGTCACGCTTGCTGATCTGAAACAAAAGGCCGACCCATGCTCCAATAGAGCGTAATAATTGCACAAGCAATTGACATGGGAAACAGGAAAATGGTAAAGGCTTTAAACGTCGTAGTTAAGGGTTACTGTTAGTCTAAAGAATGTTTTATTGTTAAGGGAAATTTAACCAATACCTAAAGTTTTTTTTTTAAGTAGTTAGACATGAACGAAAGTTGATTCGGCTACAGTGTAGGTATTACTGATTTTATTGCAACTTTTTTAGATTAGTTTTTGGGATTCTGCCTTAGATTTTTTGGCTATTCAATAGAGCGTAACTATATTACTATAAAGTTTAGTTTAACCCATTCATTGTCCCAAGACCCACATATGGTACATTGCTGTTGTCTAACTATTGTGTCTGAAAACTGGACAGTGAAAGTGTTAAGGGTGAAAACTGAGTGACGAGTCTAGAGGCAGAGCTTCTGGCGTGTATGACAAATACACGCACTTGTAATAGCGCCGGTTGTGAGCCGGTGTGTTGTAGCCGGTCAAAATATAAGTCAAACGGACAGATAGGTACGCTGTGCGCCCCGAAATACTTTTCACTCAGCATAGTTCAAGGCTACGATGGTACATCTTATTACTTTGGAACTTAAGGCTTAGGCCCGAGTGAAGTTGTCTGGCAGAGTGTGTGTTAAAGCGATGTTGTAGTAGGTACTTTTTACCCAATTGCAACACGTAGATATATATGACTAGCTCTTTCACACGGTTTTATTATTATTTAGTTATCGAACAAAAAAATAACATTGCATAGTACGATCTACATTGCTCAAAACAGAATCTTGTTGATTATGGTGCTTAGTTTTATCCAGTTAATTATTTTACGTTTCCGTATATTTTTTGTTTGTTTTTAATAATTTAGTTCATTATAATTTTTTTACATGTGTTAATCTATCAAATTTAGCCTATTACTAAAATATAATTGATGATAAAGTATTTTTATAAAAAAAAATTAGCAAATTCATTTTATAAAAATTAAACATAATATCTATAAGTAGGTACTCTGTGAAGACATACGAATCATAGTAATTTTCCCGATAAAACAAGCCCAATGTTTAAAATCCGACTGGGTAAATAGTTCATTAAAAGTTCAGTTAATATACCACTAATTTGTCAATTTTACAACGAACAAGAATGTAGCGGCAACCTTTATGTTAAAATTTAACAACTGCCTATTATGTTATAATGTGTCGAGCCGTTGTTGCCTGAACAAGCGTGTCAAAGAAAGAGACATGCATACGCAAACGAGGATAGATGTAGATGTCTATGAGCCACAGAAAACACTTACCCTCAAGTGGACTGTGAGCTCGCTTGTCACCCTTATCCTATAAGAAAATACCCTCGAAAACATTACTTTCCTTCTGGGGCAATCGGGTAAAAACTCATAAAGAAGAAACCGTGCAAAAGTTATATCAAACGAAAAGATTATTGTAGGTCATGTTAATAAATTTTTTATTAATTCGTTTTTGTTTTTATCTAATAAAAAATAAACAAACTGGAACAATTTAAGCTCTTGCGGCTTCCCGAGATGTATTCGTAGTTGGACAGTAATTGCAGGCAGTAAGATAACGTATTCATACCTACAGCCCGTACTACAAGATGGCCATAATGGCGAATTTAGCATCGATTCTAGCGCCAGTCACTAAGGACACTGTACAACATCAAATGCAAATGCCGTCGTCGTTATTTGATAGTGAAGTGTCGTCGTACATGCCAAATGGCACACTGCACAGAACGCTCACCATTAAGATATGAACGAAATATGCCATAATGTCTTAATATGCACGAAAAGTAATTGACTGCACATAGTTAAAAATCTATTTCTTGTGAAGAATTGGTCTTATTATGAGTTTACTATTCATTGACAGAATAGTTGCAAGAGCATAATATCTTAAAATTGACGTCAGAATTATGAAGAGTGTTGACAAAACGCTTTAAGCTCTTTTGTGCATAATATTAAGGTGTTATTACATTAAGTCGAAAGCTTATTGCGTATTATATATTATTATCAAACCACCAATACACCTGAGGAAATACGCAATTTTTTATGGGATAAGACTGACAAGCGAGCACACAGTCCAGCTGATGGTAAGTGGTTGCTGTGGCCCATAGACATCCACATATATCCTCGTTTGTGAATCAAAATGCAGTTGCGTTGTCAGCCGTGAGGACTAAGATGGAATGCCTCTTTTTCAGTAAAAAGGGTTTTCGATTCTCTATACTCACCATACGAAACACAGCAGCATTAAGCTGCTATTTTACGATGGTATTCTGTGAGAGCGTGGTCCTTCCTCGGTCGAGCCGACCTATACGTGCCCAACTATACAATTAATATAGCTGCAGCATGGCTCTACCTC